GTCTTTTCCAAGAGTGAGGTGCAGGAGAGGGGAAGGTGATTCACTGAGTTGAAGCATGCCTGCTCTCTGCGGCATTGTGTTGAAAATAATTTAGAAGTACATCTGAGAAAGGGCTTGGTGGGGGTTTTAACCAGGAAAAATGGGAAGCATGATAACACAAAGTTACTAAAATTCTCAGGATATTGCTAGTCTGAGAAGTCCTAGCAGTGCTAGAAGTAACTTCTAAGTCGTACTAACATGGGTCTTCTGAGAAGTGACAGCTCTGTGAGTTTCTATGTGTTACAAACCCCAGAAATCTTAATTTAATGTTAGATACAATTCTCTCTTAATGAAATATGTCGTAGCCATGGAAGAGCAAGCTGAACATAATATGGTTTCCAGAGAAACATCCTTATTAACTGAATTTCCTGATCAAGTGCATCCTGATTTAATAAAAATATATTGATTATTTTGATGTAATAAGGAAAGATAACTATGAAGTAGAAAAAACATTGAAGCAGATTATTGAAATTTAGACAACATGAAACAGTTAGCTTTATATGACTTTTGGTTTCTAAGCCATAGCTTTAATTTCAACCGTTTTTTCCCCCCATTCACAGGGTTTAGCCATTAGGACACTCAGAAATACAGTGTTTATCACAAGTCAGCCCATGTGCTAAAATAAGTGGGTAGGAGGGAAGAATTAATATTTTTCTCAAAATTATTTTTTCCATATATTCACAGTTAGGAAAAGGCCCTGGAATAGTATGTTTTACCCCATTTTTTTTTTTTTTTTACTATTACTTTTTTAGTTAGTTTTGTAGGTTTTTTTCAACAAAAATCTTTGTATCTCATCTGTCTTTTCCTTTCATACATTTATTTTTGCTTTCATGATTGTGGGATCATTTGTGGTTGATGCGTAATCTATTTGCAAACAGTCACATAAAATGATTAACCTGGACCATGTTCAGTGATGTTTTCTGAAATCGTTATCATCAAGGACCACAGCTGTGTTTTTGCTTTCACATTTTCATTCTTTCAACTTTCTTGTGTCTTAAGTGATAAAACAACAAAATTGTGTTTAGTCCATAGATTTAATGACCAAAAAATTTTTTTTGAATTTTGTTTAGCCTTCTTAATTGTACATTTATGATATGGCATATACTCACTATAGCATTTACTTTCACATCCCAAGAAGGCAAACACATTAATATTAGGATTACTACATTTAAGATATTGTAAGTTTATTATTTATGAAGTCTTTGTACAATCTAATAAATCCCATGCCTTCCTTTGTATTACCTGTTCCCTCTGCAAGATAAGAGAATAGAATAGAATAGGATAGAATAGAATTGAATTGAATTGAATTGAATTGAATTGAATTGAATTGAATTGAATTGAATTGAATTGAATTGAATTGAATTGAATTGAATTGAATTGAATTGAATTGAATTGAATTGAATTGAATTGAATTGAATTTCATTTGGAAGTGATCTACAGTGATCATCTAGTACAACTGCCTGATCACTTCAGGGCTGACCAAGAGCTAAAGCAAATTATTAAGTGCATTGTCCAAATGCCTCTTAAACACTGGCAGGCTTGGGGCACTAAGCACCTCTCTAGAAAGCCTGTTCCAGTGTTTACCTCTCTGTAAAGAAATGCTTCCTAATGTAAAGTCTACTGTTTGCTATGAACCTAGGGGCTTTGTGTGTATTGCTAGTTTTCCTATGCTAAATTTCCACACTTTTAGTCTTACTTCTTCTCCATGAAAATATCTCAATCACTTTGTGGTGGGGGGTCTTTCTGTATCTTTCTGTATCTCCTCATACTTTCTCTTTTCCTCTCCCATTTTTCTTTTTTTATTCTCCACTTTTTCTTTTATGATATTGATATATGGATATTTTATGGTACCAGATATCCAGGAAGTTGAGCAGAACCAAACATGATGTGTACTGTCATCTGAAATGTGTCAGAGGTTTTCAATGAAAAACAGACAGCTTAGAACTATGACTTTTGCTAACTAGACGCTAACGCTTTAATAACGTAAATTGGATTTCACTCATTTTTGCCTAGAACTTCGTTGAACTTCGGTGTGTCTCAAACTGTCCACAAGTTTTCTCACTCATGATTAGTCCCTGGAGGACAACTCATGGTCTTGCTAATCCAGGCATCTAGCTTTAATTAAATAGAAATACAATTTTTAAAATTCTTTAATTTCTTCAGCTACAATACGTGGAATTTGTGTTAGAACAGAAAATAATGAAATACCCAGTCTGCCACTCCAGTGCATAGCCTCCTCAATTTACAGAGTTTGCTCTGCAGTTTAATCATAGAATCAAACTTAAGAGACACAAGAAGTTTTACCAACTTCCCCATGCACTACAACTACTTAAGGTAGAGATTAATGACAAATTAAGTCCTCCTTCACTCTGAAAAGTCTATGATTGTTAATAGAATAAATCTTACTACTTTTACAGTGTTCTTTCTGCATTGCCACATATCTTTTGTACATGTATTAAAGGTGATATTTTAATTCACAATACACAAGATATGAGTAGGATTTAACCCACTCAGAATTCCTAGTAACTGCATTTCTACAATTTTAAGGTAGATAAATTTAATATAATACATCTGGAGGACAAACAATAATAACAAATAAATAAACAAAGAAAAAAAGAAAGCCAACCCTTAGCTTAAAATTTAAAATTATAGCTTCTGGGTTGGCCGCTTCCATTCAGGAATGAAACTTTGGGTCTATGAAACATGAATTTCTGGAAAAGTCAGCTTCAAGATCTGTAGTAGTCAAAAAGAAAAAATCAAAAATTACAAGTTATTAGAAAAGAAAAAGACAAGAAAGCAGAGCACATCATTATGCCATCAAAAGAATTCACAGTTTGCCAGTATATTTAATAATGTGTGCAGTTCTTCTCCCTTCACAAAAAGAATCTAACAAAACTGAAATATTCAGAAAAAGCTAACAAGGGTGATAAAAGATGACTCTTCTTTCATATGAGCAATGATTAACTAAGCTAGGGTTCCTCAGTCCAGAAAACGGTCAACTAATGGAGAATATGAATGAAGTCTAAAGTATTATAAGGAACTTGATATGGCAGGGCTCAGTTATTCATTTTCTCTTTCAATAGAAGAATTAGGGGGCACTGAAAGAAAGAAATTAATTAAACGAATTGAAGGAAAGCAAATGAAGCAACAGAAGCCATGTTTGAAACAAACGGAGGTAAACTGTCATATGCAGCAAGTAATAGGCCAAATTGGTTCTGAAAACATATTGTGTATGCAACATATTTACATGAGTTCAAAGGAAGATTGAACTAGTTCATGGAAGATAAGGCCCTCAAGAATTATAAAATGCATGAAAAAGACATCCACCTCAGAACATCCCTGATCTGAAATTTGGACATTGGGGGGGAATATTAAGGGGAATTACTATTTATCTGAAAATAATCTTATGGTTTTCTCCCTAGACATTGACTTATGGTCACAGTCAGAGACATATTTTATCTAGGCTAGATGAACCTCCCTATTCACCTCTGTTAATAAGCAGATCTATTGTCTGTTAGGTCATCAGCCATGTAAAATAAGAGTTCTGGATCACCAGTTGAGATACTGCAGTGTATAATGCCTTTCTTTGGATGTGAATAGAATCATTTAATGACTGACACCTGAAATCAGAAGCAGGAGTCTTCTGTCTACATGTTCAAGCTATTAATATTTTAGATGTCACAGAACACGTGTTATCTGCTAAAGGCTGACAGATTGACAAAGGACATTCATGCATTCTTCAGCAGCCATTGAAGTCCAGATTAAATTGCTGTGAGTCCTTAAAAGGAATATAGCTGCCTGTGTTTAGGCAACTGCAGAACAGTTTGCATACATTTGCATATATGTGTCTGTGAGGGAGATACCTTCTCATAGACTCTGGGAACTAAATTCTCCTTGCCTTTAGCTGCTTCTCTGAAAATGTCTGGATCTCCCAGATAGTTGTTCTATGAGATCTAGAAACCTATCAGACTGTACAGTTATACTGCCGTTTGCAATTAAAACCTGCTCTAATTTGACAGTCAGCAGAATATAGGGATCAGTGTCTAGAGGTAATACTCAGTTGCTCAAACATAAACACTGAAATTTGTTCAAATTCTGATGCCTTAGGGTATCTGAGATATCTACATGGGTCTGGCAGATATGGCACAAAATCTACATAGGCATTGCACTCTTCTGGCCTGACATCAGTGAGATCACAGAATGACAGAATCATTCAGGTGGGAGTAAACCTCAGGAGGTCTCTAGTCTAACCTCCTGCTCAAAGCTAGTTCAGCTATGAGGTTAGATAAGGTTGCTTAGTCCAGTGGGATCTTGAAAATTTACAGGGTGATTTACAGCATCTCAAAAGCCAGTAGATATGTGCATACAGGCAAGTGAATTAAACACGTAACATTTACAACTTGTAGCTTTCTTCCTTGGAAGCATAATAGCATATTCTTTCAGCTGTATGTACTGAGCATTTGTTTTGGTAACTATTGATTATAGTTTTGATGCCAATTGTAAAAATAGCTACATTATCTGGATTATTAATCCTTAATTTTGACAAATATTTTTGTTTTGGTTTGGTTTTAGAAATAAGGGATGATCCTGGAAAGTGTTATATAAAATACTGTAGAATGTTGTCATGTTATATGACTGCACATTCAGGATGCTTGCAAAGAGGTGCCTTCTGGGTCCTCTACAAGAGAATACTTAATTTTCTTCAATGTCTTTGGTAAGAGTAGTAAGATTGTAGTTTTAAAGGGTGGTGAAACAGTGATCTAAAAGTTACGTAGTGTTTTAAAAATCAATTAAATATTTACTTTCCTGTCCTTCTTTTAAGAAAAATAGCCCTGCAAACCCCTATATTCTTCACTGAAGTGACATACTTATGACATCTGTTTTGTGATCTTCTCTCATTACATGGTATTACTTTTCTAGAAATTTCTAGCATTTTTGATTCACAATCATGTCATTCACAGATATTGGCTGACCTAGAAAACCATGCACTTTTTAAGGATGACCTAGAATGCCAGAAGCTTATTCTGGAAGCCATGAAATACCATCTTTTACCAGAGAGAAGAACTCTCATGCAAAGTCCAAGAACTAAGCCTAGAAAATCTACAGTTGGGACACTTTATGCTGTTGGAGGAATGGATAACAACAAAGGTATTAGAGGATATTTATTACTTTATAAAAGTTATATGTTCCATTTTCTTTATTAGAAAATAGTGAAATAACTGTCTATTCCAAGACTTGGGTGGGGGTGTCTAAATCAGTCAAGAAATGCTGCCAAAGCTTTTGGTCCAATGAAAATCTACTGACATTTAAGGAAAAATATAATACTGTTAGAGAAAATAAATAGGGTTTTGAGGGAATTCTTTGTTAAAAGTTATTAAAATTTCCAGAAATAATTTTAACAAAAAATCTAGTGCCATACATTTACCTTAATTATAGCTTTCTAGAAATTATGTTTCAATTATAAGTCAAATATGTATTCACTTTTTCTAATCAATGAAAAAAAGACAGTTTGATATGCATTTTATTCCATCCTTAAATAGTTGTCTGAAATGTTATGGATGGTCCATTGTCTTCCGATGAAGAAATTTATCAATCTTCTAGAGAAAAAACCTAGAAAACTAGCTTAAACTAGATCACAACTTTGTCAACAACTAAAGGAAGGTGAGTTTATCCTCATTTTACCATGAATAGAAGTAGGAAGTGGTGTAGTTTTTATTAAAGTATGTTGTTATTTGTTGGGAATAAGAATTATGAGGATGTGCTTTTATTTCGGGTAAGAAGTCTAATGCACTGATTTCTTGAATGGAATTAAATAAAATATTTGAACTAAAAGCTAGCTGTGTTATAAGCCTATATACTCAGAAAGGCTTTTATTATTATTTTTCTTGAAATTCACTAGCAATTCCACAGGATCTCACATTTTCATATCCATATTTAGACTGAAGAATGTGCCTTCAGAAACATTAGTTCTAATATAAAATAAACTGTACTTAAAAAAAAGTATAATATCAATTTAGGTCTTCAGTATTTCACAACTCTATTTATGGGTATAGTTATTGAAGTTTTCACTAAACAGTATTTCACTAAATAGCTGTGATGTAACATCTGAAAAATGACATTTTATTTTTTTCCCATGAAGTTACACCAGTGAGAAAGATGTAAGACTTCTGTGCTCGTGTGAAAAATAAATGTTGAGAGAATAGGAAGATGATGAGAAAAGAACCACTGTATTTTCTTATTATAGCTGCAGATTATTTTTGTCTTTTTAACAGTTATAAATGTTTGTGTAGCTAAATGTTAGGAATAGATTTGCACAGAGAACTGCTTTTGGATAATAAAGTAACTGAAAAACAAATTTCCTCTTACTTAGGGCAAATGACAATGAACTCTTTAAGTATTCAGGTAGTGAAAATGACCATAAACCCAATTTAGGTGCAGCTGTATTTGTTCTAGCTTACTATACAGATCTGTTCTTCATTCATATAGCAAATCAAAATACAGAAATATTTAGCATGACAGTACAGAGTATAGCACCGTTGCAGTGTGTATCAACACACAGCCTGTTTTGCAGATTCAGGTCAGGCAGAAGAGATTTTTTTCTGTAGCATCAGGAGAGAGTGCAGCACCAGAGATGTTCAGCCCTCTGTCGATGTGAACTCTGAAGACAAAAGTACCATGGATAATACACATTTTCAGCAGATAAAAACTGCTTTGAAAGGGAGTCTGGTATGGCAGAGCAGCATCTGCATGGTAGGAGCCTTTGTTACAGCTAATGTAATATGTGTTCCCAATAACTCTGGATCTGCAGCTGTGCAGCCTTGACTTGCATCTGCTCAGCTCACCCTTCTTGTGATGCTGCTGTAACCTTGACGAGCTTTTATGCCCAGTGAGTCTTGCTTCCAGACGTCAGTTCAGGAGACGTGAGTGCTGGTTGTGTATTTTGGAAAGTCACTGAGTACGCCTCAATATTTGGGCCAGGAAATGATGCTGATACTGTATTATCTGTCCTCAATAATTAATAATTTTTTTTTCCACAACTTTCTCCACTGAAATGATGACATGGATGACTGCAATTCACAATGATGTATTTTTAATGCCTCCTGATGTTTGCTACCAAATATGAGAGTTATAAATAAGAGCTGGATGAGCTAAGCAAATTAACAATTTATTAGCTAGCATATAAAACAGCGGGTAAGTGCTAGTATTATGAAACTATTTGAAGGCTATGTGGCCCATGACATAAAAAGTAGCCTGGTATGCTAAATCGAGTTTGTTTTGAAATCTGTTCTATAGTTATCTTCCTTTCCATAAAAAAAAGAGGTGATAGTTAAACTCCAGCAGCCAGTGACTGGAATTATGCCTGATGTGCAAATTTAATGCAGCATAGTATGAACTGGATAGAATTAAGAGGAACAAAGTTAGATTATTTTGTAATTTCAATTTCCTAAATGTACAAAACCTCATTTAAATCTCTGTTTCCACACACCTTTATTTATTAATTTAATTTGAAAAGTATATATAACATTTTCTCTGTGTTTACATTAATAGAATGAGATGTATTAATAGAATAGAGATATATGCTTCTGACAATTTTCCATTCATCTTACCCTTTTATATCATCATACTAACTTCTTTAATTTGGATTAGAGGATTTAATAATATAGTAGTATACAAAAACTGTCTAAATGCACATAGAAAAGAAGATGCTAGACTGAAATAAATGAGTAAATGCAAGAAGTAGGCATACACCAGTTTGTAAGAATGGATAAAACACCGACTTCTTGCAGCCATCTTGGAATCCCAAATGCAGAACAAAAGCCATGTGATAGAACATGGTTATCACGTCCTGCTCAGACAGGGGAGACAAGTGACTCTAGATTTGTAAATCCCCAATGAAGTGGATGATGGTGAGACAAGTCTTGGAGTCCACGCACAAACATTTATCAATTTCCCACAATGTACTAGTTGGATACATGATAATTAGCTAAGTATATAATGAATCATGGTAAGCCCTATAGTATGTCTTGCATTACATAATGATAATAAGGAAAAAAGGGTAAAAAGAAAAGAAGAGAGATAGAGAGAGTAGAGAAGCAAAGATCACTGTTCTGGGGTCCTGCATTGGTCCCAGACGAGTTTGTCAGGAATGCATCTGTCTTCTTCACTTCTTCATGTCTTCTTTTTTTCTTTCTATCTATTGCTTGCCTGCAGACTTGCCTGCTTCACTTCTCAATCCCCCTCAATTTATACATACTTTCCTTGTGTCTTTCCCCTAGTCTGAACCACATACCTACATATCACACGTATGGGTAGGAGTAAGGTGCTTTATGGGATGATGTAATTAACATGATTTTGTTAGTATTCGTTAGCATATTCAGGAGTGTCAATTTTAATATACATTTCGTGGATAATGAAGCAGAGGTCATTCACTGGACAGATGGCCCTTGAAACTTTACAAGATGGACCAGAGCAGAGCTGTCCTGCCTTCACAGGGCCCCCTTTTCCATCTGTATCTTGTGCTAATCAGGCAGCCTCGTCAGCTCCAGATTCCACATTATCCACCCTGTCACTGTAGTTTTGTTACTTGCAAGTGTTTGAGGCATTCCTCCACACAAATGGCCTCCACTCCCCCCCACCACTTTTCTCTTTGTCAGGCTGTTTTTCTCATCCCCTGTTTCTCTCAGGCTGGTTTTCTCAGAGCGTGTTTCAGGGAGTTACAATTCAGCTCTCACAATGGTGTATATGATCTATGTTAGTGCTACGGAAAATTACCATGAGGAAAATATACTTGCACAGCAAGAGGAGATTAGTATCAATAATTGAACAATGTTATACTGATGGCAGAATACTGATTGATTTCTCATGAGGTGTTCTAACCTGTCTCACTACCTAGCAGGTAGAATAATAAGGGACAAGAATAACCTGCAGAAAATAGAAAACAGAAGAAAACTAAAGTATCAGGGTAAACATGATCCAAAAATACAGAGGTATATTACTTTTAAAATAATCCCAGGTTAGATCATTATTTACTGAATCACAGTCTGTTAGTAAATACAAGAGAAAAAGCAGTGAAAAATTAAATGATCAAGAAACACTTCCATAAAAATGTGACAGGTCATTAACAAGGAGAGGGAACAGTTGATTTACTGAAACATTGAAACTAAATGCATGTTTTTCATTAATCTTGTGACTAGATGGAAAACTATCACAAAAATTGCTCTGAGGGAAAATAGCTGAGGTGCATCATTAGTCAATACCAAGCAATATTAAGTCCTTTCATTATTTATATATTTTTTTGAAAGATCCTTGATATTACTACAAATATATTAAAAAAAAAGTCTTTTGAAATCTGAAATTGTGAGGTGTCCAGTCATTGTTTCTTAAACTCCCACATTGCATATTTTGCCTTTTCTTTAACGGTTTTCAGTCATTTGTAATATTCCTTTTTTCTTTACAAATACGGTTTATCAAATGGAGTTTATTACTTATATATCATATTTCACAGGAATGTCATCTAATATAGCTACATGAAGTTACTCTTTTGCTCTGGTGAACTTTTAAGATGTCCTTTTTTTTCTGGGATTTTTTTTTTTTATTAAGTTTCTAGCAAGACATTTCTCACAGCACACGTCACTTAAACCTTACTTATTTTAATTTTGTATTTTTCATTCTCATATAGGCATACTTTTTAAATACTGAAATAAATAGTGGACAACCTATTGTAAATATTCTACATAAAGGCAAAAATAGGGAAAGATCATGTTCTTCCTCTTATACAATTCTTCTTACTTTTTAAGATATGTGTCTGAGATGTCTGTAACTACTACCTTCATTTTCAGTTCAGTGGAAATGCATAAAAAAAAAAAAAAAAAAAGAAAAAAAGTAAAATCCCTTAAGATTGCTTTATGGCATTTTACAAGTTGTGGAAATTACTGCAAACCACTTTGTCTTCACATACATAAAACATTTGACAGCACTCGTTATCTGTTCATTTGAAGTACATAACTATATTGAGAAAATGTCTTCATCTTACTTGCAATTTTATTCAAAATATACAATGTACAGTAACTGAGTAATTTTCAGAATGTTAGTGCTTATAGTACTTGTATAATACACAAACAGCAAAACCTACTTAAAAGGTATGGTAT